GAAACCCACCATAATTTACATTCCTCCGTAAAAAAATATGTAAGGCCAGCAGATAGGACCATGGGACGAGAAATTTGGCATTTTGGTGCAAGAATCTATAAATATAATTTGAAACCCACCATTTGAAATAGCTCCAATCCATTCCAAATTAATCTTTGAATTTCTTCTTTCTTTAGCCCGATTTCTTATGTATTCTAATTATTGAGATCAGTTCAAAATACATTTGAGTGTTCGTTATTCTCGATATTTAACTATATATGTCGAGGAAAAAACTCGTATTTTAGGAAACAATTATATATTATAGGATTATATATCGTGAACACTGGTTTGAGACGCATGCAATATCGTCTTAAGGATAAAGAATCCAACTCTCATCTCGGTTAACTTTCTTAAATCATCGTCCGTTACTATGTACTATCCACTACTCAAGTTGACACTTAATTATGAGAAAGAAAAGAAAGGACAATGTCACAATCCATAATATATATTCATATGAGAATTTATGGTCCATTTGAAATGTGGATATTGTCAAAAAAGATAGGCCAAAGATAATATATATTTACTCATATTTAAATGATGATGATGATAACCACAAATGATTATATTTATTATTAGTGTAAAGTTAAAAGAACGAATCGAAAACAGGTATAGCGATGGCTATAATAATATGTTAATTATGATAAGCATCAATCCATAAATTAATATTGCACGCATGCAAACACCACTAATTCTTAGAATTCTTATTTTATTTTATTTATTTAATAGATACACTAATTCTGAGATTAGGTACCAAAAATTTGATTCCATGCATCACAGGTCAGATTTAAATTGCCAATTTCTTCCCATATTTACATGAAAAACAGCTTTTAGAGCGACCCAAATGGAAATGTACCAAGATATAATGCTTTTAATACTTCTTCTAGAAAACACATGTATCAAATAAAACATTATTTTAGCACTCAGTTTATAACATAAAAATATAGTAATATTAACTTTTTATTTAAATCCAATCAAAATTTAACGTCAATAAAATTAAATAACGGTTAATGAGTTATAAAAATTGATGTCTTACAAACTAAATTGATTTGGAGCAAATTTGAAATTAAACTTACTTGAAACTATAACTTTTTTTGCTATTTATCATGAATATTTAATGCTTGATTTTCTTGGGTGCATTTTTGCACCCCCGAGAGGCGGAGTATCAATAAACTACCCTTTCGATGCCTTAGTTGGAGAGGGTTTTCTATTACATGTGAAATGGCAATGGCATAGATGAACATGGTATTCCATTTTCAGAAATTAGGCCCAACTCTTGTTATAAAATCGACGAAAAAAATGAAGAATCGAAATAAACCGAGGTTGCATTTGGATGAAATCATTTTTTCCCAAATCTTCTCATCAAACCCAAAAAAAAAGGTAAATTACGAACTCCCCCTGAACTTAGGCTAAATAACGAAAAATACCCCACCTATTCATAATTATCAAAAGCCCCCCCAAAGTTTGTTTCCGTCTTACACCAGCCCCCATACAGTGTGACTTTTCACAAAAAAAAAAAAAATTAATTCCAGGGAATAGACTTTACCCAATTTCAGATATTTTATTTTATTTCTCACCTATTTAGCATAGGGGGCAACTATTTTGAATACTAATTTTTGCTTAGTTGAATACTACCTAGTTGAAAACCACAATTGAGTACATATTTTTAAGTTTTTTCTTACTTTAATACCAAAATAAAAATAAAAGTACAAAAATACCCTTTCATACAAAATACTAATTACATTAATTTTTCTTTGAAATTACCTATTTGAAAACCAAATAAAAAAAAAAGAAAAAAAAAATCAAACACAAAAACTCCCTCCGTCAACCTCACGCCGCCCGACGCCGCCGCCGCCGCCCAACCATCGCCGCCGCCGGACGCCGACGCCAAACACCGCCTAACGCCGCCCACGCCGCCCAACGTCGCCCAAAGCCGCCGCCGTCGTCTTCTTCGAATAGTAAGTTATAGTTGTTTCGATTTTTTTTTTCTTTAATATTTATTTAAGATTTGAATGTTTGATATGGGTAATTAGGATTTGGTTGTTTTAGGTTAGAATGATCGTTAATTAGTAATGGGTGCATCTGATTTCAGTCGATTTGAGCATTGATTTGAGATTCGTGGGTCGGTTCTTCGTTCTCCATTTTCGACCTGTACATGTCGAAAATGGGGAGGAAGTTGTAGCTGATGATTGTGTCA